GGCATTACTTTGTGTGTGTGTGTGTACATAATGGGATATTATTCTGCCCCCATCTGATTTTTTCATTTATTCAACAATGAATATATACATATTTAGAGAAAGAACAATAGATAGATGTAGATAGAAGATAGATAATAGATAGGTCGCATAGCGGATGGAGTGCCAGGCTGGGAATCAGAAAGACTTGAATTTAAATATCTCCTCAGATACTTACTAGGTGTGTAACCCTGGGCAAGTCACTTACCCTTGTTTGCCTCAGTTTCCTCATCTGTAAAATGTGTATAATAATAGCACCTCCTTTCCAGGGTTGTTGTGAGGATTGAATAAGATAATTATGAAGTGCTTAGCACAGTGCTTGCATATAGTAAGTGCTATATAAATATAAACTATTATTATTGCTATTAATGGATAGATGATAGATAGATAAATAAATAGATAAACATACAGTGTTATAGGGTGCAAAATGCCTGGAATAGTGGAAAGTACTTAATAAATACTGATTGACATACATATAGTTAAAAAATTAAAACATTTCCCCACATAATTAAATAAACCTTTATTCATTCTTACAAAACTAAGATTCTTTATTCTTTCCATGTGGATAAAAATTGTTTCACACACCAGCTTGGTTTGTGGAATCTGGCATGAAGAACACATAGTCTGGTATTCCTGCAGGCTGAGAATCACATGTTTTGGGGAGGCTAATGATAGCAACTACTTTCAAAGACACAGGATCCACTCAGTCTTCTTCTAAGTGCTAGTAACTAAGTTTTTCATTATCACCCCCTCAGCCCCAGCCAATACAAGGCTACTCAATGCCTCCTCCTGAGTACTGTCCCTCTTCAATAACAACCAAAAAGATCCATAGTGGCTGACTGCCATCAGAAAAGCACTTCATAGTTCCAAAGCTCATCTTTATCTCTTGCTGTTGACCCCCTCACCTTGCTCTCCCAAGCTGTGCCTGAGTTCTCCATCATTAAATTCAAAAGATTCACATAGGCTTTTATGTTTTCCTAAACCAAATCATCTCCCTGTTCATCCCCCACAGCACTGTCTACTTCTTGGTTTTAAATCCAACTAATTTGTTCTTGGTTCTGCTTCATTCTCCCACTCCTGCCCTTATGTCTTTTTTTTATACCGCCCCTTGTGCTTCGAATAGACTCACTTTCCAGTCTGCCAAACTATTCTACTCTGATCTTGAAATTCACTTACCTAGGAAACCTTAAGGGGGCAGGAACTATATCTTAACTATTCATCTTCGCATTCCCATTAACTCAGTTCATCAGCAAAATTGGTGCTTGATAAATGTGGAAGGAAAGAAGGAAAGAAGGAGTGGGAGGGAAAGAAAGAAGGAAGAAAAGAGTGAATAAGATGGGGATTGGAATAATACCTTCTCCTGATGAGCTTCCATTAATATGAAAGCTCCCATTAGCATAAAGTTACACTTTTGAGGAATACACATTCAAATTAAACATACCTGTAAGCACTTAATGTGTGCAGAGTACCAGAAGAGGCATGGAAAGCTATACAGAAATTAAAAACTGCTTTCATGAGTTTTATAATACAGTAGGTAGGGTACAATACACATAATAACTGTTGGATAAAATAGAACATGAGAAATGTATGAATGTGCTACAAAGTATTATTCAAAGTCCAAGGCGGAAATGATCTTTTTTTTTTTCCTCACTAGGTGATAAGGTAAAACTTCAAGGAGGAAATGACATTTTAGCAGGGTTTTGAAGGTCAGGCAAGGATAACAACAAATGTGAATAGGAGAAGGGGATTCGAGAAGGAAGATATTAACCACACTTTCCTCACTTCTGTCTCTTAAAATTACTAGTTTTCTTCAAGAATCAACTCAAATGCCACCTCTTTTCTTTATTCCCCCAATTGTTAGTGTTCTTTATTTCCTCTTTAATGATTATTCATATACAAATTTCTTTACATATTACAGTAGGGGACAACATTAGCAAAGACACAGTAGCAGAAAAGCCCAGGATAAGTACAGGAAATGATCTGTAGTCAAATTTAGCTAGGGCATGAAGTACATGGTAGGAAGTCGAGTGAGATTAGATTGGACAAGGTAGAATAACAACAGATTGCAGAAGGCCTCAAAAAATTACCTATTTTATTTTAGGAGAGAAAAAGCCTCTGACAGAGGGAATAGAGATAGTAATCTCATATTTTGGGGAAACAATAAAAATTTAATCTCTCAGCCAATATCCAAAGTTTATTCAAAAATCTTATTCACTTACTGCTATGACCTATCCCTCCTATAGTGAGAAACAAAAATAGAAACACATAAAAAGGCAAGTGAATTTTAACAATCAAAAGACATTGCTTCTGGAAGACACATGATTGCTTATGGTTTATGGATGTATCTCTATCAGCCAGATTTAGCTACATTTAGAAAAGATGATTTATCTAGTATTCTTTGACATGATTTAAAAGAGTTGGACAATTCATTTATCTATTTTCAAAATGTGGGAGAAAATAATGTGCTTTGGAAACTAGATGGACAGAAAGGATAAAAATAGTGTAATAATTAAGAAGAATGTCAATACGTCATTTGATTTACTTCCAGAATCTCTGATGAGATTAGGCTAGACATTTGCTGAAGGTTATCTCCAGCATGAACTACCTATTTCCATTCTGTCATTCCAAGAATGCTGAGTCACTGATATCTTTTCATGCACACAAAATTCCGACCAAATTTACCTACTTCCCTTTCCTTGAACTCAGTATTCTATATTATGCCTTTTACTTGGAAAGTACTCATCCATTCATTTAATAAGAATTTACTAGGAGCCTATACTCTGGAGTTACAAAGGGAGAAATGAAACAGTTTCTGTCCTAAGAGAGCTTATTTTTTATTGAGAGAAAAGAACATGTGCACCAATAAGTAAATGCAAAGTATTTCCAGAAGGAAGATATTAGTAAAACTCTCCTCACCTCGATCTCTTACAATCACTATTTTGCTACAAGCATCATCTCAAATGTCACCTCCTTTTCTGATCTCTGTAATTGTTAGTGTTCTTTATTTCCTCCTTTAATGATCATGCAGATACACATCTTTTTACATATAGCAGTAGAATGCAAGTTCTTTGAGGGTAAGGAATATTTTGTTTTTGCCTTTATATCCCCAGGCCCCTTGCCCAGAGTAGACATTTAATGGATGTATAGATTAGATTGGGATATTTATCATGAATACAAAGCTCACTCAAAGGGCTTAAGGAGATATGGTAGCTATCAAAATGTTGGAAGAGTTATCATGTATCAAAGAAGTATTAAACTTTTTCTTCTTTGTTCCAGAAGACAAAACTAGTAACAATGGCTGGGAGGTGAAAAGAAGAAAAATTAGGTTTGAGGTAAAGTAAAACTTCCTAACAATTAGAGATTTCCAAAAATGGAATGGGATTCTTTGTCCACTGGAGGACATTTAGCAAAGCAGAATGATCCTTTGCAAGGCCTATGATAGAAGGCATTCCTGTTCCAGTATGTTGGCCTGGTGGTCTCTGAGGTCCCTTCTAATTCTGAGATAAACTGATTCTGATTTCAAAAGGATGGAAGCTCATCCTTAAATCCTGTTAAAATATTAGAGCAGTGCCTTAGCCAAGGCTTGGAATTCTAGCAGTTAAGATTTCTCATGAGTAATCGTATCTACAGTATGTCTGCCCTCTCCCAACTCATCTGTCTCTCCTGAAATAATCTTGTCTGTATTGTGTATAAGCACATATTTAAGGCTACTCGTACATATAAAATTAAAGATTTGGATGGAAAATATTTAGAATCCCCAAATATACTGAAGTTTAGCTTCTTTTTATATATCATCCTTATTCTCTCCATCCCTCCCTCCTTCCTTCCCTTTCCTTTCCTTCTCTCTTCTTTTCTTTCTTTCTTTCTTTCTTTCTTTCTTTCTTTCTTTCTTTCTTTCTTTCTTTCTTTCTTTCTCTCTCTCTCTCTCTCTCTCTCTCTCTCTCTCTCTCTTTCTTTCTTTCTCTTTCCTTCTCTTTCCTTCCTTACTTCCTTCTCAATAAATATTTCTTAATAAATATTTATTAAGTAGGATCAGATCCATTCTGGACTTCATTTTACTCATCTCCTGGCTCATTCAGCCTTAATCAGCATAGGTAACTTCTTTACTATTGATTTTATTTGAATGAAAGGCATTATTAGTACATTTCATATACAGTAGGCCTGAAAGACATCTTAGAAATCATTTGTTCCAACCATTTGACTGACAGATGAAATAGCAAAATGCCACGGAAGTTTTATAATTCACTCAGGGTCACAGTGACCCAGTAGCACAGTCAAGATTAGAACCCACATCTCCTGATCCTGTGCTGCCTATTCTCATTTTAGAACAAAACAGGGGATTGAAAAGAAAGAGCTCTCCCTCCTACAGAGGGTATCCAGAATCTGCTACCATTGGTTAATTACCTTCTATCTATTCATTTTATTCATCTAATTAGTTATTCCCAAATTAGTTAATTAACCGCTCCTCTCCAGGGACTACACTGAAGCAAACATTCACCCTGAATGCCTTCAATTTCAGACCATAGCAACTTATGAAAGGAGTTTTATGTAGATTTTATTACAAAGCCTTAAGTCAGCCTCCTGAGCTGATTTCAATTCAATCCTATTAAGGAAAGGAGATGCCAAGAAAGAGAACCTTTACAGAACCTAGCATGAAATAGACCTCATTGTTACCTACATTTTAACTACTGAAAAATGCATTGTATAGTATTTTACTCAAATTTCTGTTCAAGTTGACTGTTCAGCCTACATAATGATTTTTGGGGTAGTTTTACCATTAGCCTATGAAATGAAAGCTTAAAAAAAGCCACTGTAAAACTCAGGGCTCCCGCTGAGGAAAGTGACAGCTGATAAACTGAAATACAGGGAAAACAACCAACACAAATGAAAAAGCAATTTTCATGAATTTTGCCCAACATGAAGGTAGCTAAAGGAGGTGCCACTTTGTTGTTAAAGCCACTTGCCTTGTAAACTGTAGATTTCTCCAACACTGTTCTGCCGTGTGATGTGGTGCCAGTACGCACTTCGAGGGAGGGAGATGGACTTGGATAATGTCATTGGTTCAGTCAGACTGGTTTGAAGCTGAAAAACAAAGCAGGCACATCAAGGAAAACATCCACCCATCCACATGGCCAAGCAAATGTTTTCAAACTGCCTTATATCAGCTTTGGTGATTTATCAAATTTTTTTTTCTTTTTCTTCCAAATGAATAGCTGAAAGAGAACTAGAAAAATATTTTTGAATTTCTAAATGTTATGCCTTCCTTCTGATATTTGGGAATACTAGAATCTGCTATGGACTTAATTCAATACAATTAAGCAGTTATTTATGTAAACCAGCAAACCTGCCCTCAGGTTATACTCTCCTGATTTGTGCAAGTTCACCACATCCAAACAGCTCCACATCCATCATATAGCACTTCCTTCCTCTTCTTCTTCCTCCTTCTCCTTGTCCCTCTACTTCTGGGAACAGTAATCAGATCAGCTATACCAATCCAGGAGAGAGTGTGTCAGCCAATTCTCCTATGGTTTCATTCTGCATTTATGTGACTTCCTAGACCAAAATACTCCTGCCTAGTCACCACTCCCCTACATGTGTTGTCTTCCTTCATTAAAATGTCAAATCCTTGAGGGTATAGACTGCTTTAATTTGTGTATTTTTGTCTTCAGATACTTGGCACATAGCAAGGGCTTAATAATGTTTTTCTCCTTTATTCCTTCATTTGTTTACTAAATGCCTACTATAATGCAAGGCTCAAGAGGCAATGTGGTTTAGCAAACAGAGAGCTAGATTTGGATTAAGGAAGTAGGAATCAGGAGCTGTCTATACTGATGGGGTGCTTGGGTGCTTGTGCTTGTGCCCCAATTTCTCCCTAGTCTCAGAAACACTGTCTCTGACAACCACTCCCCAGCCCAAGGACACTGTGCCTAACAGTTATTCATGCATGGGCCTCAGAACAACCCTTATCTTTCTCCTTGGTAGAGCTACACAGAGCTGGGCTGCTCAGGCCCCAGCCCTCAGATCATGTCTCTGGAAGCCTCCCAATTCCTTAGTAAGTTCCTGTCTTGTGAGAAAGCTTTCCCTTGTTCCAGAGCATTCTCTCATCAAGACAGAGGGAGAGGGGTGCCTTGCCCAGCCCAAGGAGTTTTGTCTTTGGCCAGCCCAAGGACTCTTCCTCCTGCCAGACTCCAAAGATCCATACCTCTGTCATCTCCCTCCCTGTCTGGTATACTCCCCGTGCTTTCCCATCCATAGCCCCCAAAGACACCTGCACCTTTGGATTACCTCATCAGTGTCCCTGGCATTTCTTTCCCATTCTCTTTTCCATGTAAACCCTAGCTGTATTCTCAGTCTCTCGCAGGAATCCTTAAGAATCCTCGCCCACTGAAAAGCATAACAATAAATCTTTGCCACCTTGAATTAAAGAATGCTGAAGTCTGTGAATTCATTCCAGACGACCCGTCCTGTATTCTGGTCTTTGAGAGGTCACAACCTCTCAACCTCTTACACTGCAACAATACTAAAGGGATTACAGGTTTGATTTAAAAAAAAATATGCAAGGCTCCCTTGCTCGTAGGATTTAGAAATGGAAGGAATATTAGAGATCACCTAGTCCAATCTATTATTTTAAAAATGAAGAAGCTGAGACCCAGAGAGATTTAGTGACTTATCAAGGTTAAAGTAGAAAGTAAGCAGGGCAGAAATCCAGTTATCTGCTCTTCTACTCTAAAACTTATGGTAAGTTCCCATTACTTACCAAATACCATTTAACCTCTTTGGTCTGGTCCTCCACAATTTGCTAACCCTCTTGAACCTTATTCATATGCTTCTTGGCATTCAATCTCTGATGCAATCAAGCCTGACTCCTCTCTCACCTTATTTCAACTTGCCATTTCTGTGGCATCTCTCTGGCCTCTAGGACCTTTTGTAGCCTCTTTCCCCTTTCTGGAATAGATTCCAGCTACATTTTTTGCTTATTGAAATCCTTCTTTTCCTTCAGTTCCTAGCTTAGGTATCATCATCATCTCCCTGTAACTTTCTTTGATTCTCCCACATAAATTCCCCCTTTTCAAATATTTCAGAATCACAGAAACTGAGTTGAAAGGGATCTCTACTCCAAATCATACCTAAGCAAGAATTCTTTAACATATTTGACAACTGATCATTCAATTTTTGAAGAACCCTATTGAGAAGAAAGCTACTATCTATCCCCCAAGGTAGCAATTTTTGTTGTTCAGTTATTTTAGTTGCCCCTGACTCTTTGTGACCCCATTTGGGGTTTTCTTAGCAAAGATATTACAGTGATTTGCTATTTCCTTCTCCAGCTCACTTTACAGATGAGGAAATTAAGGCAAAGAGGATTTCAAGTGACTTGCCGAGGGTCATATGGCTAGTAAGTGTCTGAAGGCAGGTTTGAACTCAGGAAGATGAGTCTTTCTGACACGAGGTCTGGCACTCTATCCACTGCATCACCTGTTGAGGAGAAAGCTATTATTCATCTTCCAAGGTAGTACATTTCGTGTTTAGCTGGCTCTATTTTTTAAGAAGATTCCCTTATATCATTTCTAAATCCACCTCACAATAATTTCTACTCATTGATCTTTGCTCTGTCCTCTTGGGCCATTAAGAATAAGGTGAAACACTTATTCACATGATAGCAATCATGTCTCCTTAATTTCTCACTTGTCCAGTAAAAACGTTCACAGTTTCTTCAAGTACTTCTCCTATTTTCTAATGTCCTTCCACAAGATCTTGAATTCTGAAATCTTTCCTTCTGATAACAACTGTCCTTTGCATCTTCCATGGCTTACTCACTGAATCCCTGAGTCCAAAACACCTCAAAGGCCGGCTAGTTTAAGCCACACTTCAAGAAGAGTCCTGACTTTATTAAGCCAGACAAGCGGTATTCCAGTCTTTGCCTGAACACTGCACTGTAGTGAGGGAGCCCACTGCATTATGAAGTAGGCTGTTCTACTTTTGGATAATGTTAATTCTTAGAAAGTTTGTGTCATATCAAGCTTAAATTTGCCTTTTCAGTACTTTAACTCATTGCTTCTAGCTTTGGCCTCTGGAGCTAAGCAGGACAAGTCAAATCTCTCTTTTATGTGGAGCCTTTAAAATACTTGAATAAGCCATCATATCTCCCAAGATTCCAGGGTAAACATCCACAGTTCCTTCTATTAATATTCTGCAGTTAATGGATGTTCTCCCTAAAATGTGGTACCCAGACTAAATCAGTACTACTCAGTCATGGTCTAAGGCACTATGAATGATGATAGGGATACAAAGATGAGCGAGATGCAATCCTTAAGGAACTTACATTCTAGAGGGGAGTTAAGCCAAATACATATATTATTTGACTATTCCCCAAGGAATATTTTCAATCTGGAACGATTCTTCTTCACTGACTTGTTTTTAAGGGTATGTCTTAAAAGACTACTTTCTATTTACTGAGTATATTTTGAAATAAAAAAAAATTATTCTCCATTAAAGGAGCCCTGGCAAGCTGGTAGACTGGCCATAGGTGATACAGTTTTAATGGGGTCTCACATATTTAGTTCAAAAATATTCCATTGGTAATTTCACATTAATTTTTGAAATTCTAAACTGGGCATTTAAAATAATAACTCAGAGGCAGAATAATATACCGAACAACCTTAAACTCAGGAAGACCTAGATTCAATGAAGCAATCCATACACTCATGGAGTTTACATTCTAACCTAGGGGACAAGCACATATATAAGTATATGCAAAAGTATATTTACGTATATGATCATATATTTATGTATATACAACACATATATTGGTTTTATTTCTGATATATGCTTGCTTACAGTGTCCCTGGGCAAGTCACTTAACCTCTCACTATATTAGCCAATTTTCTAAGATTATGTTTAGAGACAATCCCAACACATACCAACAGAGGAAATGACCAAACCTGGAAGTTCCATAAACCAATAAAATCTCAAGACTAGTTTCTATTCTTTTAGGGATAGTAAACTTAATCATTCAACATGCATATTACTATCATACAACTAGAGCCAACAGATATTTCCTGACAGGAACATAGACAATATTCAACACATATACTTGCAACAAAGTGTATATTTTTTTCAGAGCAGGTATTTGGATTATAGGACATAAAATTATAGCTATAGAACTGGAAGAGAATTTAGAAGTCTAACCCTCCCCCCACCCCATTTTATAGATGAGGAAAATTAGGTCCCCAGAGATGAAATGACTGGCCCAAAGTCTCAATTAAATGGCAATCCACCAATCAGTCCAAAAACATTTATTAAACTCTTCCCTAATACCAGGCACTGTGTTAGGTACTGGAAAAACAAATAGAAAAATGAAAATCCTTATCTCAAGGAGCTTACATTCTAACATGGGGGACAAGTACATATATAAGTGTATGCAAAAGCACAGTTATACATATAATTATATTTATGCATATACAATACATATGTGTTAGTATTTTCATCTCTTGTCTGATTGTCCATTGCCTATAACTAACAGATTACTGTTCTGCTTGTAATTATATCATTTATTTATTGTGTTGTTTCAAAAGAAAGGGATTTGATGAATGTGTGGAAACTGATTCTAACTAAACTTCTGTCTTTATGCTGAATTTTTAGATTTTATCAAACTCAGATCTTTAATTCAAATCTATCCCTTTCCTCTATACTTATTACTGAAGAAGCAATAATGAGCATGGTCCCTTCTTTCCGATTTTTAATTTTTATCAAGATCCATATGCTTGCATACTTCAAAATTTTGTATTCACTTATTTTTAATTATTGATTTTTCCATTACTAACTATTCTAACCAAAATATTAATATATTACTAACATATTCAACTCTCCTCTCTGAGGATCCGTAAGTCTAAATTTATTTATTTGAACTTTGGGTTACTATTGTCATGCCTCAAATAACAATGCTTAGAACTCACTACAAGTTTTAACATTCAATGCTATATCCTTTGGCTATTATTGTTCCTACCTATAGAAATAACTGTACTCTATAATGTAGTTTCTTCTAACACTGTATTTCACTGAACCAGTCAATGAAGTTAGGCAGA